TTATCTGACTGTAGGCACAAATAATTTAATTAAGCCACCAAGGACCATGAATTGTCTAAATGCCACCGTGTTACAGAAACAAAAAAATAGTGGCTGGTAAAAAGTTTGAGTGGCCAGTTCAAAACTTTTTCTACCAGCCACTGTGGCTGGTGGGGAAAATTTTAATTTCTACCCCTGTTTGCAACACTGGTGTCCTACTTGAACTTAATGTAGTTTTAGTGGCTTCTAGTATTTTAGTGCTCTCAAGACAGAATGTAYTGATAGATTTATAATACAAAAGATTAGGCTGATATATAMATCTTTTACCGTCACTTATCGTTACTGTGATAAAACTTGGAAAATTATCGTGAAACATTTTTAGTCCATACCGCCCTTCCATAAAAAACCCAAATAAATAGTTATTTCGTAGTATTTTTCTTCAAAATAATGGTGTATGAAAGTCGAGTCACAAGCTCTTTTTGATTCTTTTATCTGGACAGTTAACCATAAAAACGTGGATGATGACCACTGTTGGTTTAGCAGTAATGGTATCTACCGTCTCTTTTTAGGGCTCTTTGGTTGTTGTTGTGGGGAAAGTTGGCTGTGGAAAGAGTTCGTTACTTGGTGCCCTCACCGGAGAACTTAAGAGGTACACAGACTTTCAACCTTATAATTAAAAAGTRTGAGTAATAATCTGTGTGAACAGACATGATTTGTTTTGTTTGTAATCATTTATTAGGCTTTAAGGGACTACTAATTTCCTGTGTGTGCAGGCTGAGTGGTGTTCTCTATGTTGCAAACAGAGAGGCTGGTTTTGGTCTGGCCTCTCAGGAGCCYTGGATCCAGCATGCAACTGTACGAGACAACATCCTGTTTGGCAAAGACTATGATGCTGCTTTCTACCAAGCTGTGATTGAGGCCTGTGCACTCTTAGACGACCTCACTGTAAGACAATATTATAATATTTGTGTTAATTATAACTCAATTTCAGTTTAAATTCTTTATTCATTTCATTAAAACAAAACAAATAATTTTATATACAATAT